AAAAAAGCTTTTCAAATATGTACCATATTTTGTTTTCTATTTATTTTTATTTTTAAATTTTTGTTCTTTTATCTTTTTTTCAGAAACAAAATTTAAAAATCAAAATGAAGGAAATATTTATTTGCAGCATTTGAAATACATACTGTAATGCATATAGCAACAGTCAAATTGTTAAAAATGAATTTCAGTTTGTGTACTGTGCAATTTGATTTTATTAATTAAACATAATTAGCATAGCATAAGAACATAACATAACAAACGTAATGTAATGTAACGTAACTTAATTTAATTTAACATAATTTAACTTACTTAACTTTATTGGAGAGCTTTTTTTAAAAAAAATATTTTTTACATTTTCAGTTTTCGCACCAGCAAAGGGGTTGGCTATTCTGCACATTTTGTTGGTAACTGTTTGATAGTCACATCATTGAAATCAAAAGGCAAAGGTTTTCAACACTGTGTGAAGTATGATTTTCAGCCTCGCAAGGTAAGCACAAAATGCTTATATTAGTAATTATCAGAGAATATCAGCCTATTTGTAATTATGATTAAAGTTATAGTGGTGAGCCAGGCCAAATTTTTAGTTTTACTCTTTGCATTTTGGACAATTTTGAAGTCATAGTAATAAATGCATGCAAAAGGCGAGTTGTCAGTACAAATATATGTGGCAAACTATTATGAACTGTGTGTTCATAATATTAAACTAAATTTCTGCAATTTTCTATAGAATATCGCTATTCTATAGCGATATATTATTTGAAATATTATCAAATTTATTAAATTAAATTGTAGTGTTTTTCTGGACATTAAAAAAAAACAAATAATAAATGTATGCCTGCAATTAATACTATAGTTTCTCTCACTATATTTATTCAGAAATGTTAATTACTTTGTGGAAAATGTTGCTCATTTATATATTTCAGATTAGAAGAAAATGAAAACTCTCTTCAGATTTTGTTTCTATCCTTTTGTTTGTTGAATTTTTACTGAGATTTTAAAGTTGCAATATTTTATATTGATTCATTGATTATGTGTCCTCAAGTCATTCAGCTGTTAGTAATCATATAGGTAGATTTCTCCATGATTATCTGTCCATAACCTCTGGTATTTTCATTGCCAATTCTAAGGATGTTGCCATTAATTTGTTTTTGTTAATATTTAATTTTAGTCCCATTTTTTTCACTGTGCTCCTTAATTTTTATTATTAAAGTTTGCAATTTTTTTACATTTTTAGTTATCAGTGTAGTGCTTTCAGCCTAGCATGTTCTAATATTATACGGTAGGTTCAAATAATACTGTTCCTTGGAACTTTTCAATTTCAAAATCTGATGATAATTTCTCATGAGCAGTGTTTGAAAGATTTATGATTTGGAACATTTTGAATTTTTAATTTAAACTGCATTATGGATTGTTTGATTTTTAAAACATATTTTTAAATATTTTTTATACAACTTGAATTATTAAATTTGTATTTTTAGGACAGTACTATTATACTGTTTTGTATTTTAAACAGCATAATTGTTAAAAGAGGTTAAAAGGTGATGCTTCATATATCTTGCCTTTCTTTTTAGTGGTACATGATCAGCATTGTGCACATCTACAATCGCTGGAGAAATAGTGAAATCCGTTGTTACGTTAATGGTCAGCTAGTATCCTATGGTGACATGGCTTGGCATGTGAATACAAATGATGTATGTTTTCAAAAGATTCTTATATTTTTAAATATATAGATAAAATGTATTTATTTATTTTTGCTTATTTAAAATGTTGATTTATAAGGCCACCCCTCCCCCCAATTCAAAGCTGGCTCTGGAGGCATTACAAAAATATTTCTAAAAAAGGACATTGCATATCAGAGAAAAGACATACTGTGGCCCAAACAAACCAATATTAATCAAATAGATATACCAGCAACCTATCCAAGAGCCAAGTGTTTAAAGATTCATAAAAATATGTCCTTTTAGAAACTGCAGACAAAGAAATACAAAACATTGATTGTCCCCCATGTCCAGGGAACTCTTAAAAAAAAACCATAATATAGCTGGGAACAGATTGGTTATCAGTCTTTTCTAAGTCAAATAACATATAAATTATTAGAGCCCTGTGATATTTTATTATTTTTTAAAACTATCATAGAGGATTCCTAGTTTCTAAAAGCAGCAGCATTTGGAAAGGAGTACCATTTTTCCAGTCCATGCTATTGTTTAAAAACATAGTTTTATTTATCTCACAAATTGCTCCTATATAACTTGGAGAAAAGGGCTTTGACTGCCTAAAGAAAATAAATCACTGGAAAGATTGAGCACTGGAAAGAATTTCACAAATAATATATATAAATATAAGTATTGACAGTAGTGAATCAGATTCATATTGAAATGTATATCTTGCCTTTTGCTAGTTCCCTGAAGTGTTTATTCCCCAGACTTCTTGGTTTTTAATAATGTCAAACAATAAGAGGACGTAGCATTATAAGAGTTTCAGATTGGACAATTTGCAAGTAGTATGCTGCAAAAACGTTCATTTTCTAATATGCCAACCTTTTGATCATTTTAATTATATTAATAAAGAATTTTCTAACATTTTGCCTTTATCTGTGTCTCTTTATTTTGAATATAAACTATGGATGTAGATGATTGTATTTCTCCTTAATGTTACATATTGTTATTACCTGCAAATTTTAGCGAATGAGGATTTAAAATAGCTTGCATCTTTTTTTCTAGGCATTTCTATGTATTTTATGTCTAATTTCTTTGTTCTCCTTTTATACAGAGCTACGACAAATGTTTTTTGGGATCATCTGAAACTGCTGATGCAAATAGGGTTTTTTGTGGTCAACTCGGGGCAGTCTATGTATTTACTGAAGCTCTTAACCCAGCACAGATTTTTGCTGTACATCAGTTAGGACCTGGATATAAGGTAATATTATATTATAATTCCAGTTCAGAAAAAAAATAGTTGCATTGCATTATAATGAACTGGTGTTGTTTGGACTCCTTTTATATAATCTTTAAATTATAATTCTTATTTTATAGAATATGCTTTTAAATATACTGTGTGCATGTATGTGTGTGTATATATAAAACCATTATACTAAAGCAATTCTAACAGATATCCATAATAAATAAAATGAATTGAATATTGATTTTTTAAAAGGTTGCATTGTATTAGACTCTATGATATATTCATTTCCAAAAACATTGTAAGTACTTTTAATAGAAATATTATTGTCAAATAATGTAACAAGTCAGCAGATGCACTCTTACATATTGAAACAAACTCTTATATACTAACTCTAACATCATCTGTTATGCGATTCTCATGGCAGTATTTATAAATGCTTTATTTGGTGTGGCATTGGTTGGAATGCCTTCTCTTTGCCAACAATTTATTTGCATCTCTGAAGAGTAACTCTATGTTCCTCTACTTACAAAAATGCATCAAATTCATATAATAGTTTTCAATTTCTTGGAGATTCTTGTAATATATACTATTAAAATATTGGGAAACTATAATATACTAGATTTGCAGCATGTTGATATACTCATGTTGAGTATCTATAATCCTTCATGGTGCATGTTATAAATCAGCTAGCTTTTTTGAAACAGTTTTTTGAAACAATAAATAAAATACCTTTTTAAATTTTTGTTATTCTTCAGTAAGAATATTTAGGTCTTTGCAAAGAGCAAAGAACATGCTTGATTTTATCAATGTGTAGTGAAGTGGCCATATCTTGATTATTTATTATGTCATTATTGTTTGTCCTTCCGTGGTATATAAGAGGTGTACTTTTGTAAATATCTCAGTGATTGTGTGCTTTAACATTCTTCCTTTCTTCTGCAGAGTACTTTCAAATTTAAATCTGAAAGTGATATTCACCTTGCTGAACACCATAAGCAAGTTCTCTATGATGGGAAACTTGCAAGTAGTATTGCTTTCACCTACAATGCTAAGGCTACAGATGCTCAACTATGCCTTGAATCTTCACCAAAGGAAAATCCTTCAATTTTTGTACATTCTCCCCATGCTCTTATGCTTCAGGTTTGTGTAACAATAGATTTATTATTTTCAATTTTTCAATGTTTTATTAATGTCACATAAAGTGTTTGAAAGCTACTAAATTTTAAATATATGTTGAAAAATCATTTTTACAAATTATTAATGTATGCAGCCCATACAAATTGTTTCCTCTGTGTTGATGAATTTTCTGTTATGATTATTATCTTTAGTCTGTAATTTATTTATTATAAACAGTGAATTCATGAGCTTGGTTTTAGTAATGTTAATTCCTGTGTTACTGATGAAATGTTAGTCTTATTTATTTATTACAATTGAAATCTGTTTCAATTTCTGTTACTGCTATAATAGAAACAGTCCAGTCTTAAATATCTTGAAGAAATGAATTTAAAATAGATGAACTATTTTTATTTAATAGATGAGATAATCAGGTGGATTATATTTCCACTGAGTAGCACATATTTGACCTTGAATGGTGGTCCAATACAAAGAGAACTGCTTCTTCTTTTTTAAATGCAGGATGTGAAAGCGATTGTGACGCATTCAATCCACAGTGCGATTCATTCAATAGGAGGAATCCAAGTTCTTTTCCCTCTGTTTGCTCAATTAGACAATCGGCAACTTCATGACAGTCAAGTGGAAACAACTGTCTGGTAGGTTTTTGTCAGGAAAACTTATTGCTGGAAATTCTCATAATTTTGCTTAATATATGATAAATCCATTGAGTGGTTTCCCCTCACGCCCCCATACTAGGTTTTGTCATTTTTTTCATGACATATGAGGGATAGTATAAATGGTAGTATAAATGGTATATGATGGATATGTTAATCAAAACTCAAGTTTTTAAAATCACTTGTTTCATATTTGTATTACAAAATTGTTGACTTATAAACACATTTAACAATAGTTTGGCGAACCACGGTTTGTTCACCCACACAGTAACTTGGTTATAATAAAATTAAGCTGTGATGTGGGATCATTATATTATAATATTGACTATACACTAAATCTAAATCTAAATCATATTAGACTTTACATAATGTGACAACCCACTCTGTATCTTTCAATAAAGTTGTTTTCTTTCTGTGTTATCATAACTGAAAAATGAAATGTTTCTGATGGAATTAAAAGTAAAGGGATTAATATTAGACATTTCCAAACCTATCCTATAAAGCAGTGTTTGTTAAAAATAGATTGCCCATTAGGTGACAATATTGGTTAACCTATGAAGGGTTCAAAATCTTAGCAAGATTGAACCTCATTAGTGCTTAAGTCAGGGGTGTCGAACTTGCGGTTTGTGAACCAGATCCGTCTCAGGCAAGCTACACCCACATCACAATACATCATGATACGTCATGTGATACGATCAGGTTTGACATCCATGCCTTAAGTAATAGATCATAAAATAGTAGATCTCTTAGGCTAGACTGTAAATTAAAGAATGGAATGGCAACTAACTTCCATATCATTGCCAGAAAAATTGTGAAGTCACTAGAAATTAAGCTTGAATCAAATTAGATTTTAGCTTTTTGCTACTACCATAAATTGTTTCAGTGAAATGTGAATAGCTCATATAAATTTAACTACATTATTTAACATTTATGAATAAATGACCATTTTTAAAGCACTTGCATTGGACATTTTTCATTTTGATTTTTTTTTCTTAGTAAACTAGAATTAAGTGCTATTATGTGAATTGCTTGAGTAAACATTTATGATATGCTGAAGTGATGTTTGGGGAGTTTGCTCTTCATAGCTTTAAATTACAATTAACATATAAAAATTCACAAAAGCCAGCAAATGAAAACTGATATTAGTAGAATGAAAACATTGTAATTAATAGCATCTAATTACATTACTTGTACTAAATAAATATTTTATATTGGAATGAGACACTCTAGTTTAGTAAATAAGTCCTGACTGCTACTGAAATTTACTTTTTAGTTGCCCTCATTAGATGTACAGTAGATGTTAGAAATACGTATTTCAAAACATTTGGGAAGAATACCACACTGTTCATGAAATAAAGAGTGCTATTAATCAAAGCACCCCCATCTTTTTTCAGACTTCTGTGCATAGGTCCATAAAAAGTGGTCTGTGTCAACTTGTAAAAGCATTTCAAGATGCTTTAATAAAAACTTTGCATGAAGTCCAAAACAAAACTTCAAAATTATTTTTCAAGTATTTATTTCCTAGAAAAAATGAACATATATACTGTGTTTCCCTGAAAATACGACCTGTCCGGAAACTAACACTTTGTCACATTTATTGCATGGGCAAAAATATAAGCCCACCCCCCAAAATAAGTCCCCTGGATACCCCCCCTCTGGCCAGGCAGAGAACCGCTCACCGACCTAGCGGTATCCCAAAGACACAAAGCCGCGGGAGCTGGGGGAAGGGGGGAAGGCGCTCACCTTGCTTGCCACCTTAGGGATCCTGCTAGGTTGGGGAGTGGCGTTCTGCCTGGCCGGAGGGGGGAATTGCTGGGTGGTTGCTCNGAATACTGCATTCAGTTTTGGTCGCCACGATGTATAAAAGATGTGGAGACTCAAGAAAGAGTGCAAAGAAGAGCAACAAAGATGATTAGGGGACTGGAGACTAAAACATATGAAGAACGGTTGCAGGGTATGTCTAGTTTAATGAAAAGAAGAACTAGGGGAGACATGATAGTAGTGTTCCAATATCTCAGGGGTTGCCACATAGAAGAGGGAGTCAAACTCTTCTCCAAGGCACCTGAGGGTAGAACAAGAAGCAATGGGTGGAAACTAATCTAGGAGAGAAGCAACTTAGAACTGAGGAGAAATTTCCTGACAGTTACAACAATTAATCAGTGGAACAGCTTGCCTCCATAAATTGTGAATGCCCCAACACTGGAAGTCTTTAAGATGATGTTGGATAGCTATTTGTCTGAAATGGTATAAGGTTTCTTGTCTAGGCGGGGGGTTGGACTAGAAGTCTTCCAAGGTCCCTTCCAACTCTGCTATTGTATTATACTAACTTTCCTTCTAAAATGGTGTTAGTTTAGCTTTTTAATAATTGTTTCCCACACTAGGCAACAATCCCAAATGATTGCTAGAGCCCAACTTTACAAATAAGTTTTCCTATCTAATAATCTGTAGACAACTCTGGAGGCTTTAACAGTATTTTAGATGAGAACAGTCAGTCCAATACACCTATTCCGGGGTCTCACCTATGTCAGCCCTGGAAGAACAATCAGTAAACCTATGGGGATAGAATCTTGCAAGCATGAAAACACTTTCCCCTTTTTATTGAATTAGGGAGGGATTTTCCCAAGAAGTTTATTCATGTTGCATTCTTGCCCCGGAGTCAGTCTCTTTTTATAAGATTGTTGCCTTGGGAGCAGCTCTTACTCTTTCCCTTAAAGCCATTCTGTGATTCTATATGCTGATGCTTCATCCAAAACCTGAATGGGAACGTTTTAAAGAGGGTAAAACCTTCCTCTGTGCCAGCTAGATTCTGATGATAAGAGTATATATCAGGTCTACTTTTCAAAAGAATTACTAGAGAACACTATTTCACATGAGGTCTTGAACTGGATTCTGTATTCATGGTTATCATTATTTAGAGTGTATTTTATAATGTGATATATTGAACATTTTTTTTCTACTGAAATATCTGATTTATTGAACAGATATCATGAATTTCAGAAACATAGCAATCCATATCACTAAATGGAATAAAATAAGATCTACTTCATTAATTGTGTGCTTTTTAAAACTATTCCACTTTGAATAATTCTAGTTGGAAGTTAGCAGTGGCAACTTCTTACTTTTCTAATAATATGATAATGAAGACATTTGTTCATGTTTAATTATTCATTATTTCTGTTCCCATTTTTTTTCCAATAAGTATTTTTGTCAGTAAAGATTAAGCAATAGCCATTTAAATACCGTATTTTTTGGAGCATAAGTCGTACCAGAGTATAAGACGCAGCAAGGTTTTGAAGAGGAAAATTAAAAAAAAAAAAGATTTTGCACATTGTGCTGGTGTCTTGAAAATTTTGTCTAGTTTCATTTTTATCCTCATTTACTTATGACTAGCATTATTAAGAATGCTGTTATAGATGTAGAGATGATTTAACTAAGGCATGGTGTTTTATCATAAAACTTGTTTCATTTAGAATGGAAATGACAAATATTCCAGTGCTTACCTCCATTGTTGCTGAGATTAATTTCAATATTTAAGTCTAATGATACTTAGGTATATATCAGGCATGTTTTCCTGCCAATTTTCTGTTTCTGTAGCAAGAGAGGATGAAAATTGGTGGCAGGAAAGAATGGTGACCTAAGCTTATTTTTAGCTTTTGATAATGCTGAATATGCTTAAAGAGTTTCCAATTTTAGATGGAAATTGCAATCTTCTGTTTAGCAGTCTTTGCTCCTACTGATCTTCTCTGCTTCTCAAGGATAAAGTTGGTTAATAGAGAAGATCCATGTTTTTCTGAGAGTTCTAAAACTTGGGAAATTCAGTCATAGATGGGCAATTGGGTTGATCCATTTCTGTTACAGATAAACTTCAGTAGTAATGGCCATTGTATTGTGTATATATTACTATCTTATGGACACATACTGTTGTATACTAGGTGAGACATGGTATAGTGGAGATCTAGGAATGGCCTGAAGTATCCTTTATATTTGCCTTTATATCTAGGCGAGTTGGAAATAGGCAACAATGGAGAGATTTTTATGGCAATGCACAGAATTTTGCAAGTTTAATGTGAATCGTGTACCAGTCCAGTGCAGTTTAGTTCCTGGTAAGTTGTTTAAAAATGTTACTCCCCCTCTGTTCACCCATGACTTTTTATAAAGATTTTCATGGAGTACATCTTGCAAAAAAAGTTGATGTTCAATGCAAACTAATTTTCTGCTGCTGATCACAATGTCAAATATTAAGCTATACTCAAAATTCTTAAAATTGAACAGTTAGATATAAATTTATATAAATAAATAATAGTTATTTATGTATATATTTTTGTGTTGGATTGGCACTTTAACATACGGATCTTAGATTTCAGGGTAGATGTTGACAAAGTAGAACTTTCACTCAGATGTATACATGTAAAAATGGATTTTATGTACAACCCCCCCCCCCACATTAATGACATACCATGACATACTGTTCATATGAAGATCCAAATCAAATTTCTAATCTCTCCTGGGCGCCTTTCTCAATAAAACTTCTAGAGTATGATAGGTAGTCAACACTGACCTAGAAAAAATAATTAGTACGGTATAAGGATATTTATTTTTATAATGTATGCTGTGGCATAAGAACATATAAATTGGATAAAAACTACGAAGATATTAGGAATCACACTATATTAATATATTTAATTTTTGTTAACTATCATTCACAAAAAATGTAATTCTGTATATAGTAAAAATATAAAATGTAACTGAAATATATATACTTTTTAGTGCTATAAATAATTGCTACAATATATGTGATCAGTGATTGAAGAAGGTTTTTGTACTGTTTCTAAGAAAGAATTGCATTTGATTGTAGCTTTTCATATGTTCAGAAACAAGAACCTGTAGATCTCTTCAAGTACCTATGATTCATTTACTCATTATCAATTTGTGATTTTTTTTTCAGTTGAAAGATAAGTCGAGAAGTCTATTGGAATAAATATTTAATGTCTATCCTCTGTTGTTAAAAGCTAACTTTTAGGAATACATTCATTTGCAACATGCAATAATTTGGAAGTACAATGTACAATGGTAGCTTGCGCTTTCAGTTATCCTGCAGAGGTGTGTGGATGAACAACCCAATGTTTGTTTTGTTTAAACATTCTATTTTAAATAATGAAGTTAGGAATTCAATGTCAACAATAGATTATATTTTCAGATTTTTGGAGGGAGGGGGTTGTTAGGAAATAAAAAAAAAAAAAAGGAGATTGACTCTCACAATTCTAAACAAACCATACATGGAATTTCTGGTTTATTAAAGCATTCTTGCTGGTACAAATAACCAAACAGTATGCTCACCAAACAGGAGAACATGTTGTTTAAGTCAGAATAGAGAGGAACATAACTGCTGGTTTTAAGCTACAAGTAAAATGGCCGATTGTGACAAAATAGTGTTGGCCAAATTCAGACCATGTTATCCTATATGAGCATCCTATGGTATTTCAATTTGATAGAATGGAGGTGTGAAATATTTTAGAAGTAATTTCACCAAGGTTCCTAATTATGTTTTTCCAAAAAAAGGCATTGTGATTTTATTATCCTATAATTCCTTTTTATGTAACAGTCAATTGGGTTTCTACTGTGTTTGTTTTTCTGTAGAGAGAAAAAAGGTATTTTCATAAATTATTGTTGTAAAGTAAGTAATCTGTCCTGACTATTAATATTTAAACAGAATTTGAAGATGAATGGATTCTATTTCATTAAGTGTTTTAAAAAATGTTTTAGACCTCTAGCTATTTGTTTTATTATGATGGATTTCAGAAGACAGCTAGACGTGGTACAGAGCTGTTTTTTTATTTTATTGTTGACATAGGAAAGAACAAAATGCAGAAAGGAATATCAAGGATATTTTTCTCTCTTCAGTCATTTTTATTATGCGTAAAGCGTAATTATGACCTTTAAAAAGAGAATGAGAAAGACTCTAACACTATGACAGATCCGTCAATCACTATTGATAATGTTATATTTCTAGGCTAATTAGTAGTGCAATATAAAGGTAAATTGATTAATCAGATTGACAAATTGTTGTAATTATTTCAGTTATTGAGTCATGTCAAAATAGTTATATTTAGAATATATGATTTAATTTTATGAAAATTAAATTAGCTTTCTTCATTAGGTCTAAATCATTTATGTTTTTGTATGTTTAATGGTACTGAAAATATTTAGGCACACTCGTGTGGGAGAAATGTAGTAAATAAATACACTACTTTTTTGGTGGTTTCTGTGATTTGAAAAGAGTGTAGTTTTTGTTATTAGAAAAATTAGGGTTACCTGATCTTGTTTATTTTTAGACTTGATTAGACAAACTAGTTTAATTATCCTGTTTTATATAGCCCAAATACTTTACTAGGGATGGTTGAGAACAGTATGTGATCTAGGTTTTTACTGTGCTATGATGTCACTGAATGTGTTCTAGTTTTACGTTATTAATTAGTAAACAAACAAACAAAAAAATAAAACAGCAAGGGTGGATCTAGAGAAATATAAGCAATGGTATTCTATATCCAGCAGCATTAGCTACAAACTGATCTTGCTAGTAAAGGAGGTGTTGGTAGGAATACATTTAACTGTTTAGTGGCAAAATCATCTTTCCACTTGTGCAATGAATCTCTAAATCATCTAATTATAGAACACTATAGGTTAAATTTAAAAACAACCCGATACAAAATAAGGCAGTGTGGCCAAAAAAACAAACAAACAAAAAACAATATTAAGGTATCATTGAAACCACCAAAAGTCAAAGGGATTTTACACTTACCTTTTTAAAAAGATGGGAAAAGATCTGGAAATTGGCACTGTATTTTTCCCCTTTTTTGGTTTATCTAGTTAAGTCGCTGCATCAACAAAACAATTTACTTTTGGCATAGTTCCTCATATTATAAAGTATAAAATTTAGAATTGCAATGAGTCATATATTTGTTTAACACAAGTCTGTACTTACTGTTTGTTCATGAGCCCTTTGAGAATTGGATTTGGCTATAAAAATTGAATCATTTCTGTCAATATATTTAGAGCATGTAAATTATATGTGAGTCTCATTTATTATAGTTAATATGCTACGCATAGCCTAGGGCTGTTATTTTCAATTGAAAATACAGGGCAGATGGAATTAGAGTACGTTGAGTCCTTTTCTATGTAATCAAAGACAACTTGCTTGGAGATTTGAATCATATAATAGAGAATGATATAAATTTACACATTCTTCAAAACATTCCAAGAGAATCTTTACTTTATTTAGCTTATTGCATCTAATCTTCAGTCAATAGCAATAGCAATAGCAATAGCAGTAGACTTATATACCGCTTCATAGGCCTTTCAGGCCTCTCTAAGCGGTTTACAGAGAGTCAGCATATTGCCCCCAACAATCTGGGTCCTCATTTTACCCACCTCGGAAGGATGGAAGGCTGAGTCAACCCTGAGCCGGTGAGATTTGAACCGCTGACCTGCTGATCTAGCAGTAGCCTGCAGTGCTGCATTTAACCACTGCGCCACCTTGGCTCAGTCAATAACATATAAGATCTTATAAAAAATATTAAAGCTATAAAAATAAATTATTAAAAGCACTTTAATTACAGGTAGTGTTAATTATAGATAATCTATAACCCACCCACCCCAAAACAAAATTGATTAGATTTTTTTTACTGTCTTTTGAAACAATAGTAAATGCTTATTTATTACTTTAAAAACAATATCATACCGTTATCTTATGAAATTTTAAAGAAAAAATGCTATAGATTACAGTCCTATATCCACTAACTGGCAGCAAGCCCCTAGAAATTAATGGATTTCTGAGTAATCCTGTATGGGATTGCTTTTCTGATCATACTCAAGGCCATTTGTATGGTGAGATAGACATCAAGGAGGCAGCTGGTTAAGCAATTATGTTTTGTGGCTTTAAAATACGGGTGTCAAACTCGTGGCATCACATTGCTGTCACATGATGTTTCACGACTTTTTTCCCTTCACGGAGCTGGTGAGGGCATGGCCTGCGCATGATGCATTTGGCCTGCGGGCTGCCAATTTGATACCTCTGCTCTAAAAAGTTGACCGACAAGTTTCTTGGTAAGCTGGGTTTTCCTCAGGATAGATAAAAGAGACAGGGTCCTAATTTAGAAGGGACGATTCATTTCATTTACTAAATAAAGCATTTTCTTTTTTATTATTTTTGTTGTTGTTAAAATATACTTACTTTTTCAATGTAGATATGTTTTACAGTTACATTGTTTTCATATTCTGTTTTTTTCATCTTTTTATTCCAACTAATATTAAATTGCTTTCAGGTAACTATTTTCACCATATAGCTGAAATTTTCACTCCATATTACATTTTTAAAACAAGCTATTAAATCAAGGGTTTTTAATATTTAAGTTAGTTTTGTCACTTATCTATGTATGGAGATAATATTCTGTTATCTAACAGCTGATATCATGGAGGTTTCATCTCCTTCACAATTTTTATGTGATTCAGAACTCTTAAACCACAAAAAAATATGGTGTGCATAACAATACCCATTTTCATCTGTGCTTTCTAAGTTGGAATTAATATAGAATTGATGGCAAAGCGATGGCAAAGTATTTTTATCGCAGTCTGGTATTGGGAAAATAGCACAAATCATACGTTGAGTAAACTCATGTGAAATCTTAGAAAACTTGGATGGTGATTCTGTATGGGAGATCTACATAGAATCTTTCTTCCGTATCACTTGTAAGGATTGCACTTGGTTTGTTACTATATATCTGACAGAATGACTTATTGTACATTGATTCTTACGTTGAATCTTAACTATACAAAGAATTAGTCCAAGAATTACTGCTGTAAACATAATTTTGCATTATATATATACACTTTTATATATCAATAACACTGCTTGTAATCTTGAAATGATTTGTGAGTTAAATTTATAAATCTCTTTGCTTTGATATCCTAAAATATGATATACTTATCAATTTTAATATCTATAAAATTAATTAATAAGCTTAAAACTTGATATACAAAGTATACTTTTTATTCTCATTTGAATATCATGAAGTTTTAAAAAGCCATAATATCGATTAATATTTGATATCTAATTGGTATCTGTATTTTATGTGCAGTGCTACACTTTTGGTTTTCTTGGTGGAACTCCTTAAGAGTTCAGTAGCCATGCAAGAACAAATGCTGGGTGGAAAAGGATTCCTAGTGATTGGTTATCTTCTTGAAAAAGTAAGTGAAAAAGTAATATTGTAGGCATATCTGACTATTTTAGTATATTTGATTTAATTCATGGTTGTACTATTTGAACATTATGCTAGCGTGTATTAATATCTCCCCTCTCTGGAACATAAATTCTTTCAAGAGGGTTGGCCTCACTCTGATGTCATGTGACAGTGATATACATGTTTATTGAAATATCCGATTCTGCAGTTTCTAATCTGATGCCTTAGCCACTTTTATATAACAATTTTTTTCCAGCGAAAGTGCCCCTTTGGGATTTGCTTAATAACTATGATTTTTAAGCACAGGGCTTTTTGCTTAAACAATTCCATAAAAACAGTAAAAAATCAGGTCCAGTCATGTGGGTGCCTTGACTTATTACTGCAATGACCTATGACTAAAATTCTGGTTCCAAATGTGGTTGCAAATGAAGGACTTTCTGTAAACTAGCTTTAAAATTAGGGAATATCTCTATTCATCTCTAGGATAACTTCTCCAGAATTGAGCAAACCAGGAATAAGTTTTGTGTGTGGGCAGAGAAACCATAGAAAAACAGATCAAATTTGAGAACATGCCTTAAGGTGCTAAAGAGAACGGTTTCCCTAGTGCCATGATAGCGAATCTATGGCATGCATGCCAGAGGTGGCAAGCAGAGCCCTCTCTCTGGGCATGTATAACATCACCAGCTACTCTTTCAGGTTCCAGCATACACATGTGTGCCAGCCACTGGTTTTTGTGTGTGCAGGAGCGCCAGAAACCATAAGTGCAGCTGCCCAGTGAGCATGCGTGTGCCAGCCAGCTGGTCTTTGTGTGAGCATGCGTGCCGGAAACCGGAAGACCGGCTGGCTAGTGTGCATACATGCACCGGGCAGCTGCTCTTCCGGTTTCTGGTGCTCTCCCACACACGTGCGTGCACGTTCTGGTTTTTGCACTCCATGCTTAAAAGGTTCGCCAACACTGCCCTAGTGCATTCCTATGGAAGGCTTCATTCAAAGACTTGCCTATTTCCTTCTTCCAAATCACATGACTATTATTGACAAGTTGAAAGAATTGTTTTGAATATTTCCCCTAATTTCTTCAATAGTTATAAATATATTTCAGTTTATACACGTCTAGCAGTTGATTTATCAGCTGTACATCAACTGTTTCATAAAAACAATCCTTTTTCATTTTTTTTGTCTTAAACATAATGATATGTAACATTAATTTTTCCAGTCATCCAGAGTTCACATAACAAGAGCTGTGCTGGAACAATTTCTGTCTTTTGCAAAATACCTTGATGGGCTTTCTCATGGAGCACCTCTATTAAAGCAATTGTGTGACCATATCCTTTTTAATCCTGCTATTTGGATTCATACTCCTGCAAAGGTCAGTGAACCATGCATTTTTACTGCAGTATTAGTTGTAGTAAAAATAAATTTGTATTTTTAAATTAATAAAAACTAATGTATTTTTAATGCTTTATTTGCATCTTGTAATTTTTTTTGTTTTATAATTAACAGTGTTTATTAATACAGTAATTATAGTAGAGACATAGTAGCAGATATATATATATATTATTTATCAGCACAAATAAAAACACACACACACACACACACACACATATATATATACACACACACACACACACACACACACACACACACAAACACACACACACATATATAGTTATTAATAAAAGTGAGGAATGTATAACTTTATTATTATCAATCCTGGCAAAGATGAAATTGCTTGGAAGCTACAATCAGAAAGTAAACATGAAAATGTAAAAACTAGACTATTTTTCCTACCTCACCTAACTCAACTGTTTAGATTAGTTGGAGCATCTTAGCTTTTGGTCCCTTCTATTACTGGAAGTAGATCTTATTTTCCTTTCATATGAAATCTCTCTGGATAAAATAAGTTTTGCCTTACTCCGACTTCATGTGACAGTGAATATATATGTTTATTGAAACATTTGGTAACAATATTTTCTGGATAAAATGTTCTTCAAATACATTGTTCCATTCTTACAGTATATTTTGTTCTCAGTTCTTGTATAGCATTTTCCCATCATTTCTCATTTTATTGTAATTTAGTTTATTATTTCATACTGGCCTATCATGTTTATGTTATGAATATTGATAAGCTTTAATTATGTTGCTTACCTTGATTATTTGTTTATCATCAAATCTATAATTAAAACTTGGATAAATTAACATCATATGTTTTCATGATGTTCTTTAGGTTCAATTATCACTATATACCTACTTATCTGCTGAATTCATTGGTACTGCTACTATCTACAATACAATACGTAGAGTAGGAACAGTATTACAACTAATGCACACACTAAAATATTACTACTGGGTGGCTAATCCTGCAGATAGCAGTGGAATTACTCCTAAAGGCTTGGGTAAGTATAAGAGAAAAATGTATTGTTTTGATATGAATACTTATAAAATGCATGTTCACAAAATAAATGTGTCAAATTATTTGTGGGGCACTTTGAACAAAAAAAAAGTTTCTACATGATAGTAAATTCTGTTGAATTCAATTGGATTTTCTTCTAATAGGCCAGGATCTTGTTTTGCTACACATATGTCTTTTCTAACAGATAGTCCTCTACAATTTAATATAGAGTCCACTGCAATTGAAAAATATGAAATTAAACAAATGCTTTAAAATAATAAATGAACCTAATTTATTGAATCAATAAGTAAATACAGTGTTGGCTTGATTTAAAAGTTGAAAGTTATCTGCATACAAGATTTTTTCCAATATATAACTAGTAAAATGTTGGTTGGTTGGTTGGTTGGTTGGTTAGATAGATGTATGTATGTATGTATGTATGTATGTATGTATGTATGTACGTACGTACGTACATACATACATACGTACTGCCTAAGCTGAAATCATGCAACTCTTTCTCATTTATTTCAGAAGGTCCTCGACCATCCCAGAAGGAAATCATATCTCTGAGAGCATTCATGCTTCTATTTTTGAAGCAGCTTATTTTGAAGGTAACTTAAGATTTAAAGATTAATGGGCATTGCCAGATCTAAATAAAAGGGGAATCAGATTCGGGTTGTTCTTTGTAGTCTCTGTAAATCACATATATGAATTTGTTCTTTGATCCCTGTTCAGGAATCTAAAACTCAACAAATTGGTGTGAACTGCATGCATTCTATGATTGCTTTTCTCATTTAGGCATTGTTGACCTGCCATAGCAGCTGGCACGTGGGAGCATTGCCTGCTTCTTTTTTCTGAGAGAATGAAATTGAATCTAAACTTGAATCTAAATGAATCTTATTTATTATTCTATTTAGAACTTTTCTGTGTTTTCTATTTGTGTGTTTGTTTCTGTCTTGTCTTAATGAACTTAATTTTGATTTTTGGTTATATACACTAACATATTTTTTGGGAGATGCTTTTGTATTTTATTATGCAAACCATTTGGAATAATTCTTCAGGGCATTACACATTTTTTTACAGAATATTCTTAAAACACTATATGTCTACAACCCAACTAATTCTATTATTGATCCTAATATTGAATAATATGCTTCTCAACTCTAGTTTATCACAACCTTTGGAATTCTCATTACACACATCTGTGCAGCTGCTAAGTTTTTGAACAATAATTTTTAAGAAAATGTAGCAAAGACTTAATCTCTATGCTTTTAACTTCTTGATATACAATCAAGGAAGAAAAGGAAAAAAAACCTAGTCCTTATTTATCAATGGGGATATTATTTCTGTCAGTAGTGAGGTGCTACCTGACTTGCCTATCTCTATCCAGTGTGGTTGTGGATTAATATAGAATTTCTTTAATTGTTCCTTCAGATTCTCTTCATCATTAAATTTCTCAGTAGAAACTGGTATATTCATTCTGCCAAGAGGATGTATGTACCAACCTGGTTCCTACTGAAAAGAGACACACTTTCTCTATTTTCAAGCTGTCTTCATCAAAGAAAGATTTCATATTCATTAGTATGAAGTTTCTGTTATGCATTTGAAACTATATAAAATGAATTCTGCTGTATTTGATAATATTATTGAACTTTATCTATATCTATATGTTGATTTGATTGTTAAAGCTTGCCCGCTATCACCTCTGCTCTTTATCCTGACGCTTGAAAGTCTTTTCATAAGAATTAGACAAAATTCGGAGATAAGAGGAACTAAAATTTAAAAAGAGGAGTATAAAATTCAGGCCTTTGTAGATGATTTGGTATTCATTATAGAAGACCCGCTAGAAAGAAGAAATAGCTTAATGCAAGAATTAGGAAAATATGGAGATGTAGCAGGGTTAAAGATTAATAGAGAAAAGACTAAAATGATAACTAAA